TCCCTCCCTCTTCACGTTCGGCCGCATAGATTTCCCTTTTATGTTCTCCCCCTCGCGCCTTCGCCTTGTAACCGTAACGCTCAGGCGATCTTCCCTTCCTCGGAGGGGTCTGGTTTCCCCTCTTCACCTCCCTTCCCCGATGCTTTTCCTGATTGCCGGTTGACGTCGTCCGCGTCGGTGGATTTAGAGCTTCTTCCAGAATTATCACGCGGCGGACTAGATTATCCAAGTCCGGCCACGTGTTCAGCTCTTGTTCCCTCTTGATTAAGGCTCTTTGGAGCTCCTGGCTTCGCGTCGACATCCTTAGGTTGCTTGCAGCCACATTGGGCGTGATGCCCTGGACTTTGCATGCGATGGTGTTCCATTTGTCATAGAAATCCCCAACGCCTCCCCTTCTCCTTGCGTGCAGTTGATGAGCGCTGAGACCGTCAGTCTGCGGCGGATCTGGGATGCGAATTTGGACGAGAACAACGTGGCAAACTGCTCGAAGTTTTCGATGATCCCTTCTGGCAGCAAGATGTACCAGGAGCTGCACCTTCCTCCAAACGTTATCGGGAACGCCTTGCACATGTCCGTGTCCGTGGCATTGATTAGCTGCATTTTCAGCGTGAACGCACTTAGGTGGTCCCCGGGGTCCGTGCTTTCGTCGTAGGTTGAGAGGCCCAGCGATGAGAAGTTGGGAGGCACCGGGTTCTTGAAGAGTCTTTTGGCCAGCGGGTTGTGCAGGACGCTCGGTCCCTTACCCTTTGTGTTGTGCTTCCCGAAGCTGGACTGTAGGTGCTCTTTTAGGAAGCTGAGGTCAGCCTCAGGCTCTTCGTCTTTGGCCTCCTCTTCTGGTTCGTTGATCACGAACATTTTCTTCTTCCCCTTATCCTGTCGCACTCCTGACGCCTCCGGAGGATTATCCTGTTCACTCATTCCCTCCTTAATCAGAGTGAGGATCTGGTTTATGTTGTTCTGCATCTCCGAAATCTGCTTCCCGTGGTCCTTGACTTGATCTTCGAGCTCCACTGCTTCTTCAACTTTTGGGGAGAGGCCACGAAGCGTGCGCGATTCAACGACTTCTTTCATAGGAGTGGTGGAGTTCCCTACCACCGAGAGGAAAGTGCTGTGATCCCTACAGAAATGGCCCCACGGTGGGCGCCAAATTGTTTAAGCCTGGAATGTTCCGAGGTGTGATTGAGGGTGCTCTATAGGAATCCTTGTCTTTCCTCTGACGCAAGCGTGCTCCTTATCTGCAAAAAGGATCCGGAGGCGGGGCCTCTGATACCCTCCAATGCTTAAGTCAGTTTAGATAGAGAGAGAAAGTAGAGAGAGAATGGGGGTAGATGAGTTACCATTAAATGATGTGGTTGGGCTTGTATTTATAGTCTGTGAGGGTCGGTATGGGCAAATAATGCTCTGTTGGGCGTGTGTCTGACCTGCTACTTTCGTACTTACGCTTACAGTTGCATTTAATGCTGTCAGGGTAGCTATGATTACTGCTACCACGGTCTTGTCGAGTTTACCTTCCACATGTACGCTTGCGGGCGTATCCCCGCTTTTCGTGGTGTTTTCCGTTCACCCACTCGGGCTTTCTTTCCGGCCTTTCCCTTGCCCGCTGGGCCAACTTTTAGTTATTGGGCTTTCGCAAACCGGTACCCTGGGCCTAGGCCCGCTTAGTCATCACATAAAAGAATCTATACAAAATAATATATGTACAATCTAAACTTACACCATAACATTAAATGTACAACTTCAAGTTACAGTCGACCATAAAAATTCCATTTGTATATTCTCAATCATCTGCACCACTTTTTTTAGGGCCTTTAAAAGGTCACTCATTATATATATATATATGAATTGGCTAGAGAAACAACTTGAACTTGTACCTTTATGTGATGGTACAACTTCAAGTTGTAAAGTTGTACCATAACATAATGGTACAAATTGCTTTATGGTACAACATAAACTTATAAATTTAATGTTATGGTACAATTTTAAGTTGTACATTAAAGCACCAATACTATATAGCATAGTAGAAGTGCTCATATACATACTCGTCCTATTTCTTTAACGCATTTTAGACGAGTAAGAATTATTCCCAAATAATCGATCTTGCAACATTTGCACCAAGAGAAGTCCCAAACCAACATTTTCCACATCACCAATTAAATAGAGTACAAACTTTTCCACATTAATATTCAGCCTGAACACAACATGAAAGCTAAAAAAGACCAATGGGCACATTGGAAACCTCTTTTGGGTTCACATCACATAAATTACTTGCGTCGTCAGCAAACAAGAGGTGGATAACTTTACCTCTTCTCCTATCCTCGATCATACAAAATCCCAGCAGCCCACCATGATCTCTCATCTTCTCTAACATATAAGATAACTCATCCATGACAATAGTAAAAAAAGAGATGGAGATGACGAGTCTCCTTATTGTAAGCCCTTCTCTATTGGAAAAAAACCCCCTATGCATCGCCATTAAATCAGAATCGATAGCATAGGTGAAAAACTACAGCCTCTAATCCAGCTTGTCCATTTGACAGGAAAACCAAGAAAATCTATAGCCTGAAAATAGGAAACTCCAGCCCACATTGTCAAAAGCTTTTTTCGATGTCCAATTTGAACATCACTCCATATTTACGACTCCTCTTCCTACTATCATATCGAGTTCATTGGAAATCAAACAGGCCTCGTGGATTTGCCTCTCCTTGATTGCTGCATTTTTCCCTTCTAGAGATGATCTTATCGATCACATGTCGCAACCTTTCCATGAGAACAAGAGAGATAATTTTGTTACGTTGAGCCTACTCAGAAGACATATGGGTCAGAGATCTCTCAACTCTTTCAAAACATCCTCTTTTTTTTTTTTTTTTAGAAAGACATATGAAATAGTACGACACACACTTTGGAAAGTGAACCTTCTAATGAAACTCATGAAACTCCTCCATGATATCTTTCTTTATTGCTTCCCAACCAACCTTGTAAAATGCCATGTTATTCCCATCCCGTCTGAATCCTACACCTTCTTGCTACACTTAATAGTGCCTAAAACTTCAGCCTCAGTTAATGGTCTTATGAGCATCTCTCCACTGATACAAATAAGTGAAAAGTCTGTTAATGATGAACACTATAATATGTAGAAAGATGGTCGACTATATCAGCTGAAACCTCCTCTTTTCCTTCACTTCAATGGTGTTAATCTTGATACAGTCAACTCGTTTCCTTTTGTTTTATAAATTAAGACACTTTATGAAAGAAGGAAATATCCATGTCTCCTACTTGCATCTAAAGCTCTCACGATTTCTATCTCCAAGAGATCTCTTTCAAACTTAAAAGCCTATAGATTTTGAAGGTGTTTCCTCGGGAAAACCAAATGCCACCGTCGGTGCCGAATTCTGTTTTCGGCGATGTTGATTTGATGTTTCGCGGTGGAAACTCTTGCAGTGCCGTTTGATCGAATGCACCGCTGATTGTTAAAATCGAGACTACCGTCAAATATCTGCCGCCGAATGTCGGCGCCGTTGATTTGATCGATGCACCTCTAAATGGTGAAATCAACGTGACCGTCAAATATCCACCACCGGTGTCGGCGATGTTGATTTGATCGGTGCACCTCTGACTTCTAACCAAGAACGACCGTTACTACGGTTCGCACCTCTCCAAACTACGTTCGAACGAGGGTGTTTGAGTTTTGAGGAATCTACGTTACCGCTACTCCTATGGAGATTCCTGTGGAGAGCTCCGCGACTACGACTAAGACTACAACTATGGAGATCCTTCCTGGAAGGAGAGCTCCGCGAAGGAGTTACAGAGAAAAGAGGTAAAGTTTGACAGATGTGTTTCTGTGTTGATTTGGTTGTCTTTTCTCTCTCCTTGCTCCACTGCTTTTATTCGAAAAACACCTTCGTAGTCTTCACGCTCGGTGAAACCGCTTCTCAACTACTCCGCTGTGAACTCCCATGTGTCTCAACGGCTTCGTTCCTTAAACTGCTTCGCGTGAACTTTACGTGAGTTGTTTTCATGATCCCGCGATGTCGTTTCCTTTCCCAAACAGCTCCGTTTGTTTTTTCCTCGCGACACTGTTATAATATTAAACGACTCCGCTTCCAGTCTCGCGGTGTCGTTGGCTCACTCGAGCTTGTTTTCCACGCAACGACCTTGTCGTCTACTACTACGACATCGTTTGTGTTGCAATATCTCGCGACATTGTTTTTACTAAAAACTGTCGTTACCATTGAGCTTACTCGCGGTACCGTTTTGAATTAAACGACACCGCCGATATAGCCAAAAAATATTAATCCATGGAACCGCCGCAGTCGGCGCTCGCATTGGGCCGGGTGAATTTTGGTCACCTGCCCGATATGATTTTTCAATTAATCGGTACCGCTTACCAGGCTCTCGCGGCACCGTTTTTAAATCCGCGGTACCGTTTTAGCTCTCCGCGATACCGCTTATCTCCATGCGGTACCGATTTTCCCCTTCCAACAAGGAATGAAAATAATAATTAAATAATCAAAACTCCTCCTCCAACCTTCATTAAACGCACGACCCTTTTTTTTATTTTCTGGTGACCGGTGCCGCGGTACCGCTGAGCTTCCTTGCGGTACCGTTTTAATTCTCCATGCGGTACCGATTTTCCCCTTCCTACAAGGAATAAAGGTAATAATTAATTATAAGACTCCCTTCTCCAACCCAACTACACGCGCAGCCCTTTTTTCTTTTTATTAAGCGGTGTCGTTTCCCATGCCGCGGTACCGCCGAGCTCCCTTGCGGTACCATTTTAACTCTCCGCGACACCGCTTAACTCCAAACGACATCGTTTTTAACCCGCGGTATCGAATTAAATGCCGAGACTAATTAATGCGGCATTTAATTTCGGCCAAATTAATTTTAGGTGTCAACAAATGCCCCCCACAACTTGGTTTATAAGAATTATGAACCAAGTTGTTGACATAATCCAATCACCTAAAATAATTTTATATCAAAATATGCTATTCCAACGCTAGGCTAATGCATGAAATTGATTAGTCATGCAATGTTGGTAGGGATAAGTTTGACCAACGCGTCCCACCAATTTTGAGCCTCTTCCGCACAGATGTCACATTCCAGCAATGTTACCTTCCCCACCACGATTGGCAGCCAAAACATCAATTCTCATCGACGCTTATCTCTTAGCCCTTAACCAAAGCTGTTAGGTGGCTTAAAATCCCACGATGCTACAGGTCGAAGCAATTACACAGCCCTGTTTATTTCCCCCATGGCGCAGCGGATTAGCGACCTAAGTTTTATTATAATAATTATTTTTTTTTTCTCACTTGCTTTCAACATTGCGGCAGGCTTCCAAAAGCTTCTCGGACTCTCTTTCTTTGCCAACAACTCTGCGGCACTCTCACTAATGCCGCTTTCTCTCCTTTTTATCCCCAATAAAATAACCGTGCTTGGGTTATTATTTTTTTATTTGTTATTTTAATGGCCCTAAAGCAAAAATCAGCCAACACAATTCCACGCAACACTGTTCAACGCATGATTATCCAAAACACAGACTAGTGGTAGCAGCGCATCACTGTTTGGACCTAGTCTCCCCAGGATCCGATTTTTACTCTCGTGGTTGCCAAACAACGCTTTCGGCCAAACAACGTTGCCAAGACCTATCGCAACGCTGCGGATTTTTTTTTTCATCCGTATTGCGGCAACGCTATTTAGGCCGATATAATTTTTCCTCTGCTACATCATAGCATTTTATTATTATTTTATTTCAGCAATGCTGTTGCGGCCACGGGTCTGCACGGCTAAACAAGATTGTTTTGGTCCATAACAACGTTGCTTTGGCCACTATCAATTTTCCGTTGCCCGCAACGTTGTCTTAAGCTATTACGTTGAAACTATATTTTCTTTCCACAAAAAACCCTCAATGTTGCGTTGGACCAAAACGGTGGTGCTTTGATTTTTTTATTATTTTTTTTTTCATTCCGCAACACTGCAACCAGCCATTACCCGCAACGCTGTGACGAGCTTTACTAAAATGCAGTGAATTTGTCCCCACACCACAAAGCTGCGAAGAGCAGAACAACCCTGCATGCTTTTCTCATAGTTCAAATGACCATTACATTGGCCTTACGTATCCTTCTTTTATCTTTATTTTTATTAAACTCATAAGCATGGTTTCTCACAAAAGTAAAACGAGGAACCAATCTAACAACAATGTGGCAGCTCGCAGCATTGTTTGGCCTCTTTTAAATATGTACTTACTCGGCCAATTATGAATTTTTTTTTTATTGCTCGCAAGGCTGCGGCAAACTTTACAGCGCCGTTTGAGCTCCTTTTTTCTCTCTTGCAGCGCTGCAAACTAACCAGGCCTGATGTTAGTACGACTTTTTTTTCCTTCTCTTTCAAAAGTCCCGCAACACTGTTTAGAGAAACAGCGGCGTATTACTTTTATTTTAACAATATTATTTTCCTATGCGAAAATCAATTTTTTTTTTCAATCGGGTCCGGAACAATTCTGCTGCATTTCACCATGGTGTTGTGTCATCCGCTTTGCGGTCACCACAACGTTGGTGAGAAATAAAGCACCACTGTCGGACCTGGAAACATGCTTGTTTCCTTTGCAATTTTTTTTTTTTTTACACATATATATCATGTGGCCTAAATTAGCTATATTTTATTTGTTACTAATACATAAATAACCAACAGATTAGACTTTGGCATAAACCATCATGCCAAAGGTCCACACCCACTGCCAACTCCACGGATCAAACCACACAAGCCATCCATGAATACTCTCACTAGTCCCAGCTAGCTCTACACACATTGGTTTAGATTTTTTGCAATCATAGCTGGCTTGCAACTTTCCAGTTTGTCCAGCTCGAGCACCCTTGTTCGAGATTCCACGAGTTCGATTTTGCTTCATCTTAGCCACAGGGCCGTGACAGAGAAAATCACCAGTGTTTTTTACTCTTGGCGGGACATCGGAGTTTTTTAACGTCTTTGTCCTACCAAATCGACCATGTGGCATCGCTTGCCCAGACTGATCTTGTTTTGTCATCTGCACACACTCACGACGTTGTTGAGTTTGAGGCTTACGAGCTTCATCAACAGTCATGTGGTTATTTTGATTTTTGCACTTATCACATAACCACTTGGTATCTTTTGAATTTTCACGTGTGATTGGAATTTTTCGGGCATTTAGCTTGCCCCCCTGCCCAAAAATCATGGAAGACTTGTTCCCATCCAGCATTGGCGTGGCAACCCCATGTCGGGTTTGCTTGAACTTGCCCCCCTTTTCACTAGGTGGAGTCTTTGGGGACAACTTACATGGAGGATTCTGTTGATTCATCCCAACCCTTGCAGGATTGGTTTTATTCACGTGGTCACCACCTCCATCTTGAATGGTGTCTGTGGTGACCCTAGCTCGATTTTTCTTAGAACAAGGTGGATGTGGCAAACTTATTTGCCATTTACAGTGTTGTTTCTCCTTCGATCTACCACGAGCTGGGATGGCATGCCCCCCTAGCGGCTTAGATTGAACAATGTTGTAAAATTTGTCATCTTTCAAGATATCACACTTGTTTTTCTTAATTTTCTGAAACTTATTATGAACACGTTTAAATTTTGTTCTTAGTTGTGGCTTTCGCAAGACCGCTCTAACTTTCCTGTCCTTCAAAACAATAGTGTTCACAGGAGAACCAACATGAGATTTGTTGGCCCCTAACGCCACTGTTTTAGCCACAAGTTTAAGTGAGTCCTTATTGGCAATACCGGAAACATGTTCATCTATCATCTCAAAAAATTTATCCATATGTCTTCCAAGAGAATCACACGGCTTATTTAAAGAGATAAAATAGAGATTTACCTGCTGGTAATACTCCTCCACGGCTCGACGTAGAGACAAGAGTGCAACATGCCCGTCAGTGCTCGACATGGATTGAGGCCACTCCTTCATCCGACCGATATGTCCATCCGCCTCGTCCGCCTGACCAACTTCAGTATTGGTCCTTTGCTCGTCCAGAAATTGTTGTGGAAGATCGCAATCTTGTTTTTCTCGCCGCAGAGCCATTTCAAACACACGTGTCCCACTGGGCGTGCCAAATTGTTTCCTCGGGAAAACCAAATGCCACCGCCGGTGCCGAATTCTGTTTCCGGCGATGTTGATTTGATGTTTCGCGGTGGAAACTCTTGCAGTGCCGTTTGATCGAATGCACCGCTGATTGTTGAAATCGAGACTACCGTCAAATATCCGCCGCCGAATGTCGGCGCCGTTGATTTGATCGATGCACCTCTAAATGGTGAAATCAACGTGACCGTCAAATATCCACCACCGGTGTCGGCGATGTTGATTTGATCGATGCACCTCTGACTTCTAACCAAGAACGACCGTTACTACGGTTCGCACCTCTCCAAACTACGTTCGAACGAGGGTGTTTGAGTTTTGAGGAATCTACGTTACCGCTACTCCTATGGAGATTCCTGTGGAGAGCTCCGCGACTACGACTAAGACTACAACTATGGAGATCCTTCCTGGAAGGAGAGCTCCGCGAAGGAGTTACAGAGAAAAGAGGTAAAGTTTGACAGATGTGTTTCTGTGTTGATTTGGTTGTCTTTTCTCTCTCCTTGCTCCACTGCTTTTATTCGAAAAACACCTTCGTAGTCTTCACGCTCGGTGAAACCGCTTCTCAACTGCTCCGCTGTGAACTCCCACGTGTCTCAACGGCTTCGTTCCTTAAACTGCTTCGCGTGAACTTTACGTGAGTTGTTTTCATGATCCCGCGATGTCGTTTCCTTTCCCAAACAGCTCCGTTTGTTTTTTCCTCGCGACACTGTTATAATATTAAACGACTCCGCTTCCAGTCTCGCGGTGTCGTTGGCTCACTCGAGCTTGTTCTCCACGCAACGACCTTGTCGTCTACTACTACGACATCGTTTGTGTTGCAATATCTCGCGACATTGTTTTTACTAAACACTGTCGTTACCATTGAGCTTACTCGCGGTACCGTTTTGAATTAAACGACACCGCCGATATAGCCAAAAAATATTAATCCATGGAACCGCCGCAGTCGGCGCTCGCATTGGGCCGGGTGAATTTTGGTCACCTGCCCGATATGATTTTTCAATTAATCGGTACCGCTTACCAGGCTCTCGCGGCACCGTTTTTAAATCCGCGGTACCGTTTTAGCTCTCCGCGATACCGCTTATCTCCATGCGGTACCGATTTTCCCCTTCCAACAAGGAATAAAAATAATAATTAAATAATCAAAACTCCTCCTCCAACCTTCATTAAACGCACGACCCTTTTTTTTATTTTCTGGTGACCGGTGCCGCGGTACCGCTGAGCTTCCTTGCGGTACCGTTTTAATTCTCCATGCGGTACCGATTTTCCCCTTCCTACAAGGAATAAAGGTAATAATTAATTATAAGACTCCCTTCTCCAACCCAACTACACGCGCAGCCCTTTTTTCTTTTTATTAAGCGGTGTCGTTTCCCATGCCGCGGTACCGCCGAGCTCCCTTGCGGTACCGTTTTAACTCTCCGCGACACCGCTTAACTCCAAACGACATCGTTTTTAACCCGCGGTATCGAATTAAATGTCGAGACTAATTAATGCGGCATTTAATTTCGGCCAAATAAATTTTAGGTGTCAACAGAAGGGATATGTCGACTCTAACAGATTCTCACATCTTGCTAGTTTCCTCTTTAGAGTTAAGTTCTTTGGATTTTATTTTGTAAGACTTCCCCATCTTCTTCTGAACATTTCCAAACGTATCATTGTTCCACATCTTGGAGCAAATTATTTCTGATTTAAGGTGGTAGTTTGCCCCATCCGAATACATCCCCATTGCAGCACATATGCATATACCACGCTCCTAAAAAGGTTTGTAACGGAGAGCCACATAACTTTGAATTTTTAGGGTTGTTTAATTCTCTCATTGTTACCCTACTTTAGAAGGATATGATTGTGTTTGGAGTTCAGACCAAGGGAGATCAAAGCTCTATTGATCCTCAAAAATCTTTGGTTCGCCAAATGTGAATCTTTGATCTATTAGATGCTGATCCCAAATCCATAGGTCTCTAAATGGAGTTTTGCAACTCCACCGACATGATTTGAACCATGCTTTGATACCAGTTGTTGGAACCAGGGAGCGGATAGTATAACAACAGCTCCTTTGTTGTTACTGTAACAACAAGATTCATTAAGGGTAATATGGTAATTTAACGTAAAAATAAAAATAAAATCTATTTAATCCATTTCTGCCACCACTCGAGAAGAGCAGCACCTTCCTCCTGTATCTCATTCGGCGGAGGCAGCACGGGACCATCGGAAGTGAAGGTCAGCGTCGTCGTAGCCATTGTCGTTGTCGTTCTCGGCATGGATCGAGCCGAAGGGGCCCTCGGAGTAGCCAGGGTTCGGATCCAGTTCAGCTGAAGAAGATCCAAATCCAAAACCCTCGGGGGAGGAGTCGGCGTGCTGATCCACAATAGCCTGCCTTCCGACCACCGCCGCATCGGTGACGCTTCTCCACTGCCCTGCTTCTTCCATGTCGCTCCTGCTTCTTCTATCACCAGGTGTTTTTATTGCCGAAATCTCCTTCTATCGCCCATTAGTCGCTGCCAATTTCATCGTTGCTTCCACATCCACAACTTCAATTGCTTCCACCGTCGAAATCTAAAGCCAATCTCCTTCTAGCTACTATCGCCGCTTCGACTTGGTGGAACAGAGTAGATAGAGGCCGTTTGTTCTCTTCAATTCCGAAATAAGAAGAGCTGGTCCGAGGGACACTCATTTTAGTTACAGCTACCCATTTGCATAAATTTGCAGATGATGTATATGCACAATATATGGGCGAGAAAGCTAGCCTTGGACCAGACAACCTTCCCCACAAAACCCAAGCTTCTTGCTTTCTTTCTCCTCCATCGTTTTCTCTCCTCAGATTTCATGAAAGGTAGGTTGGAGTCATTCTCTGGTGCTGGTGATATAGAAAATGTAAAGAAACAGAAACTACAAAGAAGGGTAGAGATGAAGGAAGAAGGTGGGCGGTGGGAGGAGAGGAGATGGAGTAGTGAGTGACTTAGTGTATGTATGTACTATGGATGTTAGTGCTGGAGTGGAGGTAAGGTTATGATCAAACACTAGTACTCAATTGGAGCTGCTAGTTTCAGATATGGTTTCATTTTGCCAATTATACATGCATTATTAGTAATATGAGACCTCGTCACAAAAGCATACAAAAAATGTATCTAAAGCATACTCGAGAAACCTCCTAATGCAGACCATAAATAGGGAAATCAATCCAAAAAAGTATACCAGAAATCTCCTAAAATGTCCAATAAATTGCCTGAAACAAACTAGAGATCCCACAAAGCAACCACAAACTGTTCGAAAGCACACCAGAAACCTCATAATGCAAACCACAAATGTCGTAAAGCAAACCACAAAAAAAGCAAACCAAAAACCTCCTAGTGCATACCACAAATCCATTAAAACAAACCATAAATCCCACAAATCAAACCATAAATGTCGTAAAGCAAACCACAAAAAAGCAAACCAAAAACCTCCTAGTGCAGACCACAAATCCATTAAAACAAACCAGAAATCCCACAAATCAAACCATAAAATTTTCGAAAGCACACCATAAACTTCTTAATGCAAACCAGAAACACCATAATGCATACCACAAATCTACTAAAACATACCAGAAACCCCACAAAACAAACCACAACATTTGCGAAAGCACACCAGAAACCTCCTAATGCAAACCACAAATACAGTAAATCAAACCACAAAAAAGCAAACCAGGAACGTCCTAATGCAGACCACAAATATATTAAAACAAACCGGAAACCTCACAATGCAAACTACAAATTTTTTGAAAGCAAACCAGAAACTTCTTAATGCAAACCACAAACACGATAAAGCAAACCACAAAAGGCATACAAAAATATGAGAAACCAAACCATAAATCTCACAATGCAGACCATAACATCCGGTGGTCGTTGACCGTTGATCGGTCAACGAAGACCGTTGATCGGTCAACGAAGACCGTTGATCGGTCAACGAAGACCGTTGACCAAACTCCGATGACTAGATTCCGACGCCGGTAAGCATATTTCGACCACGGTGAGCATATTCCGGTGACGGTGAGCATATTCCGATGACAAAATCTCATATTCCGGCGACAAAAAAACATATTCCGGCGACTAGTTTCCGGCGACCGGTGACCGAATTCCGACGACCAAAATTTTGGCAGAAAATAAAAAAAAATTTATTATTATTATTATTTTTATTATTATTCAAACATATTTTTCATAATGACAATTATACCTCTGCTTTGATTTTACACTAGGTCAACTCATCTAATAAAAAGTCATCACAATCCTAACTTCTTATTAGTTGGAGACTAGTGTTGTTACAATAACAACACAAGGGGTGTTGTCACACTATCTAATCCCTTGGAACCATATAGCTCTATTAGTTAGATATTGCCTGTTTTGGGCCAAACCCGCACATATTTACTATTGGATCCCTTTCAAAAAAGTCTCATACAAATGAGTTTAGTGGACATTAATATATAAGGATCATTTCTCTTGTATTTCCGATGTGGTACTTAAATTTTCCCATAACAATCCTCCCCTTAAAACAAGTACCACAAACTTTGTGTCCTTTGCTCAACGATTATTTTGTTCCGCTAGACACCTTGTATCGACAAGTTCTTTGACATAAGAATTTACCAGATGCGTATCTCCACTAGCATGCCATATATACTGAGATCTTCTTTGATATGTCAAACATACGTATATCTCAAATCATGAGGTTACCAAAATGAGGGTCCACTCTGAAGTCCACTGCTTTGGTTCCGAACAATGCTCTGCTACCACGCGTTCAAACCAAAATACAGGGGAAGCTCATGAATTGGGGGTGGATATTTTTCGATGAGGGTTAAGGATAAATTTTAAATTTATTTCTTTGTTTGTTGGGTGGACGTAAATGTAGAAATTTAGTAAAGTTTCTAATTAATAAATGTTGAGTTACAAATTGAGCATGTACGTCCAATTTAATAGTATGTAGATTGTCCTCTTCTTACTCATAGACTCATTGGCTAGCGAGTGGAAATTAGTTTGAAGCTCATTTTGTGGTTTTTTATGCTTTTATGACTACTTGTTTCTTGGCCCTCGTCTGCTGCGAGAAGAAGCTAATAATTTATTCAAAATAAAATAATTCACAAAGTTATTCAGATAATATATTTACACAAATTTTACGCAGTGTATTAATCGTTACAAATAACATATGTCATTCGTTTATTTAAGTGTATAACTATCCCTGCATAAGGTTTACATAGTGTTTAATCATTATGAAAGATTTGCATAATATTTTTGTTTAATTGATACATACAAAATGATAATTTGTTCATAAGCTTTACTTAGTGTGTAATCATTAAGGAAGACTCATGTAATATCATTGCTTATATAATAGCTATTCGTTTATAAAAGTTAGTTTATCTATAGTCTATAAATTTTACAAATGAAGCTGTACTTTATGTAATTGTTATAGAATGTTGCTACATAAATCTTTCATAATGTGTAGTCGAATATTAATATCAAAGTATAGAAAGTAATATTTGATGAATTTACTGTTATAGAACTTTATTACATAAATTTTTAAAAATGTTTGATCTAATAATAAAATCAAATTGTATAAACTAACATATGATTAAACTGTTACGTTAAAGTTAATCAACCTACTTTTCTATAATTCAAATTGATGACATGTTAATTATTTTAGTTAGCAATGATTGAATGAATTTCCGTTCCCAATAATTTAATATTGTTCCAATTATTTAGTAATAAATAGTGAAAATAAAGGAGATTTAGTTTATAATTAAATAACAATGAGTTTATGAAATCGCCAAAAAATAATTTTTAGTTAAATAACAAAGAGCTTATGACAAATTGGATGTATGAGATAAAAATCCTTGTGAACAGTACCCATTACAAAAAAATAATACATTAAATATTATTTTAGAAAATAATATATGATTAAACTTTTATTTCAAAGTTAACTAACCTTGCAGAACTTTTGCATAATGAAAATTGATAACATTTTAGCAATGAATGATGGAATGAATTTCAATTAATAATTTAAAATTTTCCTATCATTTAGTAATAAATAGTGAAAATAAAGGATTTTAGTTGATAATTAACAAACAATGAGCTTATGATAAACAATAAAAATAAAGGAGTTTTAGTTAAATAACAATGGGCTTATGATAAAATTGCATGTAAGAGATAAAAAACTCCTTGTGAATAGTACTAGTTAAAAAAGGGTAACAAATTAAATATTTTCCCTATTTTTTAGTAATGATCATTAAAAATACTTGTGCTTTTAATTATATAATAATAATAATAATATCTTATGAGTTACATTTTTGTCAGTTCTTTCATACAAACATTAGTGTTCTATCTTGGACTCGCCGCTAAGCGCAAATGAGCATGTCTTATTAAAAACAAGAACTATAACATTCAAACACTATAAATATCACAGCGACACGGTTGAGGTGTCACCATTTGCAGCCAAGTCGACGACGCCTTTGCTAGAGGCGATTTCTATGATCTTTATCATACAACATGGGGAACTTTCTGGCAATGAGCGAATCAATCTGCGGCCAAAACTGAATTCTGAAGCTTGGCCAGAGCAGCACGGGTAAAATAATACCACCTAACCCAAACGTAAATCCTAATTCTAGACTTAGGGGATCCATGAATTCCTGTACCGGATTTCATGTAGTTGACGCCGACTCGTGAGGTACCGCTATCTGAACAAGTTTTAGCCAATGGACTACCACATAAACCTGGATTACCTTGGTATGAAGTATTGTCAAATATCTGCAGCTGCCTACACGTAGGGATGCTTCCAGCTAGATTGTTATTTGATAGGTTGAGAACTGAAAGGAATGTTAAGCCAGAGAATTGTTGCGGGATCGGACCACTGAGATTGTTGTCGGAGAGATCTACCTACTCCAGATGTGACAGGTTGCCGAAGATTGATGGAATCTCTCCCTTAAAAGCATTACGGGGGATGTTAATGAAGTAGAGTCATGTGAACTTTTCTATGGTTTCTGGTATCGACCCATCAAAACTGTTGCTTGAGAAATCAAGGAATTTATATATCGTCGGGATCTTCACTAGTTCCATTTCAAGGCTCTTGCTGGTAACAAATATGGAATCTCGATAATCCACTCGAGCAAGAAAGTCGGCCTCATATTTGAGGTGATCAAGCTTTTCATTTCCATCTCTCATGACTGCTACCCAGTCGGCTAGGTAGTTTTCATTTATGCAACAAAAAAATTATTGAAAGCTATGTCGATGATGTGAAGCTTTTGCCAAGTATCTCGAAGAGGTTGTTCCTCAGGATAATGACATACAAATTGGAGATGTTACCCAGGAAACAAGGAAAGATGTCTGAGATTTTCTTGTTCGCCAGTTCTGCAGAGATTTTCGAATCCTTCCCTGTAACCGGTTCCCACTGAAATCAAGATTCCTTAGCGAGCAGGAACCATGAAATGTACCAGGTATGCTGCCACTGAGCTTATTTTCCTTCAAAATTAAGACACTAAGCACCTCGTAGTTTACTAAACAACTTGGAATTGTGTCGTTCAAATTGTTGTTTGACAAATCAAGGACTTTGGGAAATGGAGCATCACAAATACTTGTAGGGATAGCTCCTACAAGGCGATTGTTGGACAATGAGAAAAACACCGAATATGTGAGATAATTTCTCATTTCTGGTGGAATTGAACCATTGAAAAAGTTGTGAGAGTAGTCCACGTAGTGGATGATAGATCTTGACGAAACCATTGGAAACTTTCCTTGAAGCTGGTTATCATGCATGTCCAAGACAGAAACAAGACACAGTAGAGATGTTGGTGCCTCGACGAGGCGATTGTGTGATAGATTGAGATGAGTCAGTGTAGTTGTTTCCAGAATCCACCCCACCAATGTTGTTTCTCGAAAGGTCTAGCTCCTTCAGACTTGATTGGTTGTCAAACTCCAGAAACATTCCCAAATTGCTCCATGTCAGTTTCAAAATCCGAAACTGAGGGAAAATGGACAATAAGGTAGAGTTGGTGAAGACACTTACATCCACTGTCATGCGGTTGTATAAAAGATCAAGAGCGTCGAAATTTCAAAGGGATTGGAACCATTTCAAGGGCACAGTTGCAGTGAATCTATTGGATGAAAGTAGGAGGACTTTCAGTGTTCCAAGTCCAAAGATGGAACGCAAAATAAGACCTTCCAAATTGTTGCCACTCAAATCCAAAGTGTCTAGCACTAAAGAAGCAACATAAGAAAAGTCTAGAGCTTGATCCTTGAGTTGGTTGAAGGAGAGATAAATCTTCTGCAGGGATGAAATGGAGAACAAAGACAAAGGGATGCTTCCGCTGAATGAATTGTGGATAAGGTCAACATACTCGAATTTCTGAAAGCCTTCCCAGTGAGCCGGTATGTCACCCGCTAACTGGTTGTAAGATAAGTCTAGGTGTATTAGAGTCTTAAGCAGCAATAGTGATATCATTAGCCTTTGTGAAATCGTTGTGCCAAAAATCCAAATACTCCAGTTCAGTTGGATTCTCCAGCCACCTTGGAATTGGTCCACTGAAATAGCATCCCAAAAGATCCATCCTTGATAACCTGCCATGGGTTTTCAAGGGCAAAGGCAATGCCCCTGAGAAGCTGGTGTTGCTGAGTATCAGAGTCTGCAACATAGAGTACTGATTCTGAGTGAAATCTGGAAACTTGACTTCAAGCAAGTAGTTATTTGATAGGTTAGTCAACACTCTCCAGTCCCAGAATTCGCAGTATCTTTGCAGGGTTCCTGAAAGAAGGCATGAGCTTAGGGTCAGGACAGTAAAGTTTGTGAAATCTACAAAGAAATCAGGGACTGAAAGAAGAGATCATTTTGATCCAAACGAACAATCGAGAGGGATTGAAGATTTGAGAGGGAGGGGTGAATAGGGTTGAAAGGAGGCAGGACCACATGATCAATACTTCCAGATCCGATAACGAAGAAGCCAAGGCCTCACACCATTCATCCCCTGAAGATGATATGTGTTATCAAGACCGAGCCAGACGGCGGTTGGATCGGTTTAACCGCCACCCAACCACCAGTTTGGCTCGGTAAAGTTAAATAATTGGAGCGGCTGGAATGAGCGGTTTTCGAATGGTCAGAACGGTAAAGTTAAATAATTGGAAATTTGGTTGAACCGGACTAACCAAGTCAAACCAGTTTTGGGTTGGACCGACCAACCGGTTTGGGATTAGACCGACCGAACCAATATTCTAATTTTCATGAAGGGACACATCCCCAACACAAAATCGGTGTCTCTCTTCCCACTTTCCTTTTTGCGTTCTCTGTTTTACATTCATACTCTGTCCTTCCTTTGAATTTATTAAAGAGTCGTTTGGATGAGTCATTCGTATGAGTTATTTGCACCCAAATAACTCATTTTGAGTTATTTGGGTGCAAATAAATTGGTTGTCTACAAACGTTGGTGATGAGTTATTTGTACTTGAGTTAATTTGAAATGACTCATTAATGAGTTATTGTCAGAACCTCATAGAGGTAGTTATTGTGAAATAACTCACAAATACCACTTTCTTATTTTATGAGAAATTCCACTTTTATACTAACTCGTTACACAACTACTCATCCAAACTACGCCTAAGTTGCAGAGCCGCAGCTCTGATCGGCTCCGCGTGTTCCGGCCCCTCTTTTCGTACCGAAGAAGCGACCGTGGGCTCTAGGGGAGACTTAGTTGTAACTTGTAAGGGCTTTGCCTGGTTGGGCCTGTGATTCCACTTGAGCCCAATGAGTGATTGAATTGAGTTGGAGAATAGACTGATTCGCATTTCGTATATTGATGTTTGTTACTCTCCTCTGGAATTTCGCAATAATGAACCTGGAAACCTGGGAATTTCCCTTTGAACCATGCACGAAGGTAGCTTCAATATCTCCTAGTACTGTCAGAGTGTCGGGTGAAATAACCTCAGATGAATTTAGTGATGTAAATACATAACAATCTAAGGTTGGTTATTGACTTTCTTTCGGATAAAGTCAAAATTTAAATTTATTTGTACAGAAAATCATACCTCACGATATTCAAAATGGTACCCACCCGTGGCGAACCCAGAAATTTCATTAGGGTGTTTTCATAATGATCCAATACTTAATGTTTTTTGGATCCATACATTCATCAATCCAATTTATTTGACACCTCTTATAAACAATAAATCCAGACAAAAAAAAAAAAAAAAAACTTTCCATGATTTTCCCCTTCCACAATCACTTGTTGGCAAAGATGAAGGATTGAGTTTGAGTCCACTGTTTAGGCAACCATTTCCTTTCCTTTTCCCACGGCCCACAATTATCACTAATCTCCTCCTATTCTGAGACCCTGAAACAGTAGAAATGGATTCACCTCCGCCATTTCCGGAATGGCAAAAACCACAGTCCAGTCTAATGTGCCATGGACCATGGTTTCTGCAGCTGCAATCGCTATCAACATTAACGAAGGGGCGCAGGAGTGTTCAAACGGTGTGGTTATCGTGGTAATCGTTTTAACCGGTAGTATTTGGATAATTTGGTTTAGTTAATTTGGATAATTGGTTTGGTTTGGTTTGTTTAATTTTTTTAGCTTGTTTGGTTTAGGTGGTTTGATTTGGTTTCAGACACTCCTAACCGATCAAACCAAATTAACCAGTTACGTAATTAGCTAAATATCTAATATATTATAAAAACATACTTAATACTTTGCATAACCACTCAAGAGTAAAATGTAAGATAATTGTATTAGTTACATGTATATATGTTAAGGGTTAACTATAATTTTGGGTTGATCGTTATGTGTGCGAATTGATGCTCTAACCATAAAATTTTCTCACTTCGTAATAAAAGAGACATTTGACGATAAGCCTGCGCTTGTTTGGAGAGATCATCATAAATGATTAAAGTGTGTCGTTTACGATACATAAAATATTCGGCCAGAGCTGCTCCTGTATAAGGAGCAAGGTATTGTAATGTAGCCGGAGAATCCGCCGTTTCGGCTACTACAATAGTGTACTCCATTGCCCCTCTTTCCTGTAATTAATGATAATGTTATGGTATATGGATAATTTTAGTTAACCAATTAACCAAATTGATTAAACTTTATTAGTTTGGTTAATTTTTTTGTCGTATTAGTTTGGACGGTTTAGTTATAACATTGTCTTTCATGGTTAATAACATTTAGACTTATTTGATTTTGTAATTACCATAATAACCATTTGAACACCCCTATCAAAAGCCACATGCCATGGATTCAATCCCATTTCACTGATGGATGGATAGATGGATAGTCATATATTGTACCAGTCTACGTACTACTGGCAGTGTGGATCGGAAAATTCAGAAACAATAAGTCATTTTCAGGGGCAGGGAATCCAAAGACCATGCAAGCCATAAATGTGGTTTTGGATCCATGTAATTATGTGTTATGTGTCCTGAAAGTGAAGTGCTTCGTCCTCCTCGCACCCCGGAGATCAGAATGGGTGAAATGAAGCTCATTATGTATGGAAAAAACTGAGAATCTATAGATACGACGAGAACATCCACGATACGATACGCAAGGTTTGAATTTTGAGGTCAACAACTAACGAGGAAAAGTATATGAACGAGAGAGAAAGATGAAAGCGGAGTAATAAAAACAATAGTACAATTTGATGAGACCCTTACTTACATCTTCACGAACCCAATTCCTAAGACTTAATTTAGGGCATATAGAATTCATTTTCCAACTATATCAACATTCCAAACATAGAATATACTAATGAAATTGAAAAATGAAATTTCAATTTTTAAATTTTCTGCCTATCCAAACTAGAGAAAGAAAATTGTGTTAGTTTTGTCTTTCCGACGATGAATTTGACAAGTCTCACCTCCTTGGGAGAGAATTGAGATGAATGAATTGAGGGTTGTAGAATTCAGAGAAGTTCATCAATTTAAAATATAAATTTTGCCCATCCATACGCGATTTTTTTTTAATTCCTTTCACTTGATTGAATTCAAACATAATTTCATCGCTGATCAATTCCTTCATCCAAATGACACCTAAATAGCCCTCACTTTCTTCAAGATAAATTGTGACCAATATATGTAGGGTATGCAGCGATACATATATTTGGACTTTTATCCAAATCACTACAAAAGCGTCCAATCTTCGGTTCCATGAATTTTGTGAACGTTAAACAAACAACCAAATCAGTAACTGATCCCGAACAATATGAACTTGACACACTCATAATGCGATTATGATCCTCAAATTCTATTCACGGTGGAACTGAGATTATCGTGATTTTGGTTTCGATTTCAGACCAATTTAACCCCACCCCCCACCCCCCCCCCCCCCCCCCCCCCCCCCCCCCCCCCCCCCCCCCACCCAAAGTAGGTAGGAAATAAAAGTGGCAAGGCCTGGCCTCCTGCACCCTGAAAAGGGGGGGGGTTCATTTCACTCTTCTCTGCCAAGGCGACAATTCAACCATATTACCATTTCTAGCCAAGAAACCTTACAGAAATCTGTCATTTCCTACCTCAACGATAAGAGTACCATATTAGCATCATTGCACTGCATACCAAAGCACTTTGAATAGAATTGAAGGCAACTACCTACATACATCTGCTCCTTGGTCCTTTTCCTTTCTCCTTTCTCCTTAAGTTATAAAAAAAATTGCAGTCCTTTTTAACTTGGCCAACTTACATTTCCCTTTTTTTCCAAACCCGGTAAAAACCAACAAATATTTACCACCACCAAAACAAACCTCACAAAACCCTACTTGGCTAGCTCCCCCCTCGTGACGTGGGACCAAACTTTGAAGGTTAATAATTGATTGGATCGTGAGCTTCATTCATGCACACTGTAACATGCAGCATTTCGTTTCCCTTCTTTCACCATTCTGCTCCACATCCTCCATATCATGCGGTCCAAAAGCTTCACATGTACAACCACATACCCAAAAAAACCCTGATAAATAAAAAAACAAGCAGCAAACAAAACCAGCAGATCGACTTCATTCCTTGTGTGTCACCTTTATCTTTTGTACAGAATTGGAAATTTACTGCTCCCAGCTGAGGGCTAGTGTCTTGAGACCTGGTCACGGGCATCCCTAAGGAGCTTGAGTGGTGTGGTTGGTTGGTCTTCTATATCAATTTGTCATAAACTCTACAACGATGTCACTTATTTCGAGTGGACGTGTCTCAATATCGACTGACTCAGTCGTTCACTTTGTTTGAAGGTGAGTATCCAGTGCAGTCGTGAAAGAAAACATTAGTAACCCCTTCACTACAACTTTTGTAGTGATCTTAAAAGGGATTTTTTTTTCTTCTTAACCTGTGTAGATCCGGTTGACTGGAGTTTGTGCATAGTTTTTAAGATCACTTGGGGAAAATAGTGCTAGAAGAGTACCAAACTCAAATCATTGTTAAGGAGTTTATTGTCAAAACTCAAAAGCATCTCATAGAATCAACCACAACATAATGGATTAGTTGTGAAGATTCGATGTCTATGGTCATCGTATTAGAAGATTCAAGTGAAATACGGTTAGCAAGAGATCAACTTTGTGGTGGATCGCCTTGTTGTTATTAGTTGTATTTTGAGCAAACCAAATTTAGAGTGGAAACACTCATATTAACACACAAGTATCACATACATGTGCCTTTTTAGCCCTCCATTTTCTATATACAAAAAGAGAAAGTGTGTAATAACTTATTTCTGCATATGCCTACTTACTCCATACTCCCATGATCTCTTCATTGATTGATGATGGAGGGAGTGATGGAGAGGCAGCCTATTTGCTAAAGAATGTTTTTCATTTACACTCTTCTCTCTTCTGATAAACAAAAACAATCCAAACCTATAGTCCTCATCTCTAGCTAGCCGCTATAAATACACCACACTGATAGACCCAAATTCCACTTTCTTTCCTCTCTTCTTAAATCAATCCATCTCTTCTTTCTTTCTCTTTACTGGACTCCACCAAGAGCTACGAACAGGGCAGCCGCCATGATTTGCTTTACTGGGAAGAAGAAGAAGAAGAAGGGCAGCAGTGAAGGGATGGAAGGAGAGAGGGTGAGGCTGCTGGAAGAGGAGCTGGAAGCAATAATGTATGAGAGAGAGAAAGAGAGCAAAGCGTATGAGAGGGATGTGATGGTCTTTGCATTCAAGGAGGCAGAGTGGAAGCAAGAGAAGAAGAAGCTCAAGGAGGAAGTGAAGAGGCTGAAGAAGGGTATGGAAGAGAAAGAAGAGATCATCAAAGGGTTTTGCGATCAGAATTATATCATGCTGGAAGAAGAGTACAGTAATTACTGGCAGCAGCTCTCGGCTGGGACAGCCACTAACTTCTTGCTGCAGCAGATGAGGGAGGAAAGGGCACTCAGAGATGAAGCTGTTGATCGATGGAAGAAGCTCTACCTTGCCATCAAGACCGAGCTTGATGATCTCATTCAGAAGACTCATCCCGGTAATTGCTTCATCTCTCCCTCTCTCTCTCTCTCTCTTGTCTGCAATTTCATCTGCATAACCATGGATGAATTTCAAAGTTTCAATCTTTTCGAGTGTGGCAATCGATTCAAGGGGTTTTAAAGGAAAACCCAGTTCAGCAGCTTGTTTATATTTGCTTTCTGTGCATTTCAACATGGCATCCAGAAAAAACTTGGAAGCAATTCAGTGCATATTAACATTCTACTGTTCTCTGTTCTTAATTGATGGAAAGTGTTTTCAGTCTTTGGTTCTGTGGGTTCACTATTGATTTCTAACATCCAGTATTGTCCCATCTTTCCCTCTGGATTGTTCATTTTTTTCACTTAGGCTTGCTACTGTTCCTCTGCCTCCATTATATTAAAGCTTTTTTTTCTTCTCTTTTGTTTTCTTACGAGTCCTGGAAGTGACGGTTCTTTTTGACAAAATAACACCCATGTAAAGTAGAGACAAACACTCATGAAAATCATTTCAAATGGGTGCTAAATGACATATGGATGGCCCTGAGTTAGTTACGATTTCACCATTTCCGCCTTTTGTCACATCTGGCTGGTTGAAGAAGACAGGACGAACCTGGTGACCATAATTGGACCACTGCCCATGAATTATCCAAACCAACCCGTCCTCTTCCCTACCCCGTTTTCACTGTTAATAGCCTGCAAATATTGGTCAGGTCGAGCAGAACTTGAAACAAAAATGTTTATTTCAGGAGATGGATTGATGTACTGTCGAGCAGTAGAGGAAGAAGAAAGCGCGACAGTGGAGGAGCTCAGGATGGATGTGAAGTTGAAGGAAGAGACGATAGCAGATCTGAAAGCAAGGCTCATTGTGTCCGAGCGGGAAGAGTTCAATAGGGCTCGAGAAGTAGACATTCTGCGGCAGAGTTTGAGAATCGTCGGAAGCAGCTGCAGCAGCAACAAGAAGTCGTCGTCCAGCTTGCGCCTTGGAAGTAAACCCAACTTCTCGTTCGTCAAAAGGGTTGTGAAAGTGGTAGTCGATTAGGAGCATTACAACGAAAATTAATTATAGACAATCGTCGATGTATAAAAAGGACATCAATGTAATAGCAAGTGCATACTGATAATAGTAATCCTATAATAATAATTGCTGCTGTGGTTAGTTTTTGCCAGAAGACTTTGATTACTGGTGGAAACATTCAATCGGAAAATGTTCGACCTGATTCTACGGTCGAATTCAGTTATGATGCTGGACCACAACCAGAGTTAAAAGAAGTAACAAGCCTGAAAGAGAACAGAGATGGAGTCCACACCCTTCTAGTAGCAGAGCAATGAATGAGATGAATAAACCGACAAAACCGAGAACGACCTCTGTTACAGACTTGATTCGATTGTAAGCTATCAGTACCAAAAATTACCAGGGCAGGCATAAACAAATGGCAGTGAAGAAATTTCCCAGAAAAAGTAGAGGCATACTATGCTAATGCTTTTGGCACAAGTGAAGCCAATGACAGGGCAATGACCAGTTGAAACCTGAAGTGGCAGTTTACTTACGTTTAAGTTTAACATGACCTATGACTGTCTAACCTCCGTTTTCGAACAAGAACTACTGAGGTACTATCTTCATACAGAAACTTCTATAGACGATAGATACAGATGCAACTTCATGGTAACTTCAATGCACGACGTAAAGAGGCAGAGCAACGAATGGTCATTACCTAAAATTATTTACGGTGAGTGTCCGATTGATTTGTCTATATCATTTCCATTATGGGACGCGAGAGAACCACCAAGTTCTGTACACTAGAAAATGACTTCTGGATTGTCTTGTTTCCCATTAATACCGTAATTATCCACGAGGACAAAGAGACGGGAAACCAGCAAGAGAAAGGAGGAATTTACAGGGTACATACATTATGATAAATGTGAAGTTGAGAAGGTACGTGGAATTAGTACGTTTTCAGATCCGGTTCACTCCATTGCTGTTTGTTGGGTTGTTCTGTACGCTTCTTTCCGCCCTGGGAAGACTCCCGTAATTTGACCTCACATGCTGGAGAAACACAGCCAGAGGTTAATGAATGAATAACTAAAAGAAGAAGAACAACAAGAAGGTACTAAACCAGGAAGTCTTCTTTCTACCTCTAGAAGGGTGATGTAATAGAAGTCCTCCATATGCTGCATCAGGGCACTTCCATCTCGGATAGACCGGAATATGTTGATCTCAGTTTGCAGTATTTTCTCAATCAGTTCCCTCTCGCCCTTCATCTGCACAGGTTTTAATGGTGAAAAATGATAAAAAGTTGGGGAATTAAACTTGCATTTTGCTTGCTCTCAAGCAATTGTTTGTTAACTTCAGTTACAAGTAACGAGCTAGAGTAAGTTCCCTCACAGCCATCATTAGTAATGTTAACCCAAACACAAGGTCCCTTAATGCAATGATTTGAGGGATGTTATTATGAGATGTGAATGAATGAAGGAAACTTGTGAATACAGTAGTGGAGGTGGAACATACAAATTCGCTGACAAGAGAATCGGGCGTCGCCTCCCCCAACACATCAACTTGGTAACCATCTCTCTCAAGCTCCAAATTTTCCTGGGATGAAAAGATGAATTTATCAATAATTCTTTTCCATAAAGTTACACAGTTAAGGCGCTGAAGTGCAGTTTCAGGCTTTCAGCCATTGGTAGAATTATGCTCAACTAGCTAGTTTTATATTTATCTCAGCTAAGTAACTTTTCCTGGAGGCAAAACAGCTCAGAGTGAACAGACAACTCTTCCATATACGTTGTTTGGAAGAAAAGAAACAAACCACTACACATCCAGAAAGGAAATTGGCTCACCAAAGCATCTCTTAGCTCTCCAGGTCCCAGGTAAACAGGGTGAGCGACATGACAATAACCCATCAAACGAGGAATGGTTGGTATAATGTCTCGATGATTTACAACCCTCCAGCTATCTTTAACTTTCTGCAATGATATATCTCATTGTAAATGAAGCAGTTAAGTGTTCACACATGCGAAATGCTAGCCGGACATCATTGCTTACAGATAATACATTTTGTTTCCTTTACGCATAAACTTTATGATTGTTGAAGCCAATTATGACAATTCCACATGGATGAAAGGAAGAAAAGACAGGCTATTTAGCTACCTGATTGTATGCTTCCGCAAACATTTTGTTTCCAACCCTAGGAGACCCGAAGTTGTACATAGTCACGGAAATTGCTCCCCGCCTAATGAATCCAATGACATTATGCATGAACATTGCCACTTAGCAAAATTACTGTGGAACTGAATCGAACAAGAAAGCACTTACCCAGTTAGCTTACTGGAAGAGAGTTCAAGGGCAAGTAGGGTGGCCAGTGCACCACCCAAACTATGACCAGTGACATAAACATGCCATTTAAATGGCGGATCAGACGCATCCTCTCTACCAGAAAGAAGGGGGGAAAAGGATGACAGACGAACAAACCCTTATGAAATTTAAACAATCAAGGATTCAGTGCTCAAAGTTCAGTCCTTGATCATAACAATGAAATTGATCCGCTTACTGGTAACCAATGGATGATTTAATGATTGACATGATCCTTATCCTGACTGAATCATATGCGCTTAAGAACCCCGTGTGGACCTGAGTGATCAAGTGGAACCATTAATAAAGATAGTATGCAGAAAATTCCCACACACAACTTACACGCATACAGCATCTTCGTTCCAAAAAAATTTCTGAACAACAGCCACTTTATTACTTGGATACCTGAACTTCTTCCTTAAATTCTCCGCCTATCCTTTCAGGATTTAGCCTAACCAAGAAGGTAGGTGTTAACCATAAGAAGGGCAATATATGAAAAATAAAAATCACATGGGAAGAGCAGAACGTAGTGACATTGAAGATTACCCAGCAGGGACAAGCATTAGATCCGTCACCAAGTCCTTCCATTTTGTCTAACAAGAATAAGAAGTAAACAATCAGACTGAAGACTTTAAAACTGAATCTAGTTAGAGAATAACAAAAAAATTAGCATACTTGTTCTGTGCCCCGGAAAGCAATGACTATTCTCCTCCTTGCAGAATCACGCCAAATTGCCACCTGCAGATCTCTAAACATTGATCAACCAAATACAGTCTCATTGTCCATCACAAGGAGTTGTTAAGTGAAGGAAGGCATAATTCACCTCGCTCTAAACGAATGGATGGAATAGAAACTCCAAAACAAAGAGATCTTTACCTGAGTGTCAGTAGATTCATTATCCAGAAAGCATATTTTCTCAAACTCAGACCTAATAAAACTTGAATGGCCGGCTGAGGAGGCTAGCATTGCCCATGCCTCCATGGCACTTTCCGCACTCGAGAAAAGTACTCTCATCTCCTCGGCTTTCTTTTCATCCAATACAATCTGGTTTTCGGCTTTCTTTTCGTCCAATACTATCTGGTTTTCAGAGCTAGTAATAACCTCATCATCTGTAGTCGAACTCTTTCCTGAAACATGTGTCTCCTTGTCGTTTGATTTAGAAATAGCAGCCGCCAAGACCATTAAGGCTCCAAAAACTGATTCAGTTTGCTTTAATAAATCTCGAGTTGCTTTCTTTACATCTGGCAGTGAAGATTGAACTGCAACAGTGACTGGCGGGCCACTAGCTTTATCTTTCTCACCATCCTGACCTTCTGGAGCTGCAAGGCCTGACTCCACATAGGTGGCATTAGCAATCTCCTGTGACTGCAATCCAATCCCTTTTAACAAGTCAAAGCCATCAAACTTTAGTTCCAGTGAAACTGGAAGATCAAGTTTCTGAACAACTGTTTGGTTGATAACATCAGCAAAGTTTCCCCAGAAAAGTTTTTCTGTCAGCGAACCATCGGCTAGTTTCACATTCTCCACACCATTTGACTTATCTAAGGCTTCATTATTGCTATTATCAGAATTTGGATCATCCTCTTTACTACACTTTGCATTCTCTGTAACCTCTCTCTTCGATGTCAAATCTGAAGCTACAATACTGCTGGAGCTCTCTACAGCTTCGGACTCATAGCCACTAGAAATTTGACCCTTTGAAATGTATGCATCATTGAATGACTGCAACTGCCCGAAAGCATATTCCACAAACTGCCGGGCTGGCACACTCTCATTTCCTGACATCATCTTTAGAGCAGATTGAAGACCACTATTTTTCAAGAATTCAGGAACATATGGGAGTATCCACCACTTCTTTTCCTCCTCAATTTCTTTAAAGGTTCTATACCTCACCTGAGGAACAAAATAATAAGCACGATCAAAGTATTTAAGAGAACGACACCGGTACTGAAAGACAGGATAAACTCTTTAGCAAAACAAGTTCTGTAAATAACATGATCTGTGACTCTTTAGCAGAATCTGCTATAATATTATTGTTGACTAGGGGATATTATGCTCGCAGATGGTGCACAACAAAAATCTATTTGCACGAAGATTTTTCAAAAGCTGCAAATGTTTTTCACCACAATCTTACCTCTAGCACCAACTTCCCACCGCCACCCATTCCTTCCAATTCCACCTGCAATTCATGCACATTACCTGGCACAATACATGACATGTCATAAATCTACGACGACATATTTTCCTTATTTTGTTGACAATATTTGAGCTGTACGAAGTAACTACACATAATCAAAAGATGGAACTGGGAATAGAAACTTCAGCAGTTGAGCAAGTGCAATAATCAGTTTAGCAGTCATTTAGAGAATTGGAAGACAATACTAACTTGGCTGTAGAGTTAGAAAGTTAAACCCAGTCAACAGAACAATAGAATGAAAGAGGTTAAACACAATCCATTTCTAGCAGTGGACCAACGTCAATCATTGGTACTAAGGTATAGAAGTTTTTCAAACGTTCTAACAAGCTCTCACCATCGCAAATGGAATCTAGGCTAATGATTGCATTGCCCATGCGCTTATGTGGAGTGACAAGGTTAGCATCCCAAGCAGCAACCTGAAGATTCAAAGTCATGATTCAGCAAACTGGCACCAGGCTAAAGGACGTGATTATAAAGAAGTCGACACAGCAGCAGATGCCCGCTCCTGTTCCTTAGGATTCATTAGTTGATAAATTCTTTCCTATGAGACTAGTTTGCAGAATGCAATGCACGATAAACCAAGCTATTTGAAGGAGTGATATTAACCTGAAGGCTTGTTGCTGGAGGCAGTTTAATATAGAACGAGTACTCCTCATTCCACGTTGGCTCCTTTGTCCTGTTATCATTCAATGGTTCACATCCAACTTGAGTTCTTCAATTTTAGCAGCTGAAAGCAGACTTCTGACAATCATATCTTTGCTTAATAAAGGGAATAATTTCAAAGTTGGTGTTCAACCAGCTTCTGGTCTTAAAACTTCAATTTTGCAATCAGATTGTGAGTACGATCAGGAAGTGCTCATTCTCTTGCATAGTGGTAAAAATCCAAAAGCTTCAAGGAAAGATCTCAAGGGGGTGGGGGTGGAACTTACATACCCCCATTTCACGTTGCTTTTGAAATGCTGACCATCCAATTGGATGACCGCATAAGGATCACTTGTTCCCTGGAAGAAAATCAGTAGTTGGACAAGCAAAAAGTTAGCAAAATGAAGAAGAAGAAGAAGAAGAAGAAGAAAACAGCACCCTGCAATGCAACCAATCAAGATCCTTCTGAGAAGGATACATTAATCCGCGAAAGAATAACTCACCCATAGATCCATAGCAGGGAAGTCAAAGCCATTTTTCAGCTTCACAAATAACTGCCCATCATATATCTCCCGGACAAACGACCTACAAGAACATCAATCACACACAACGCATTTTGCAATATCGAATCAATGTTCGCCATAACACTAGCATTTGCTTCTAGCATCAGGAACAACTTACGGCCAACAAGCATAACATCAAAGGAAAAAATTCGCCGGTCATTTCCTTGATTGTTTAAGTTAAAATGGATGTCACGTACTCTGACAGGTACACCGTCTTGCAATTCCCAGCATCTACCTCCCGCTTCCCTACCTTTTCCTGGTTAAGGCAAGTTTGAAAGCAGTTTTTTGTTCAGTAAGCACAAAATCAAAGCGCCATGCTGAATAGCGAACAATAACTAGATTCTCAACTACGCTTTGGGATCGATAAGATATGAGTAATCCGGCTTCACTATCTCCCCCTCTGAAAACGTCGATCACAGCATCGAATTTCACTAACAGAAGACTAGTCCTAATTTATACTAAGCAAGGAGCAAAATCACTAACCGGCGGCGTGGCGTAGGCTTCGAAAGCGAAACCAGCCAAGACGACGGCGAGATTGATATCAAAAGGAGGCCGGGGCTCGTCGCTCTGTTCCCTCTCCGAAACCTTCTCAATCCGTGCATTATCTTCTCCACTCGAGCAACGAACCAAGCATGCACTGCCTCTGCGCCTCCCGCTCTCCTTGCGCAGAATCAAGCCGCCGCCTCTCCCTCTGACAGGAAACCGCCGGCGAAATCTCGAATTCCGGCTTATCCGCGAAGGGAGAGCCGAGGCAAGCATGTAGCTGAATCGCGGATGCGCAGTCGCGCAGCGTATTTGCAGAGAAGCCATGGCCGGGAAGCAAAAATTAAGCAGAGCAGCTCCACGGTACGGTCTGCTTCTGCGGGAGTGTGTTTGTGAAGGAAGGGGGAGATGAGTCTAGAGGGTGGCATTTGTGTAATAAATAAATATTTCGCTTTTTCTAGTTTAGATTTTTTGGAGAGCGGAACACTTTTTCTTCCGTGTCCATCTCTCTATTACGTGGAAGTGGAACCATTGAATCGAATCAACCGGACCACCGGATGAAGGAGAAGAATTACAGTTACTTCTTTGTTACTACGGAACAGGTTTTGTTAATACAGCCAGCCAGCCAGCCAACCAACCAAGTGATACTATCGCAATCTTTTGGCGGTCATTTTCTAAATTTGTAATGGGTTCTCTCACTTTGGATGGTAATTGGGTGGATGGAGTGGATTTGAACATAAAATTTGTAAATAGTGGGTGGTCGGTGTTAGAGTACTAACATCTATTTCATCTTTTGGTGTAATTGTTACTTGTTAGTGTTAATTTCAGTCAAGGGAAATATTTTTCTTTGGATCGGTCCCATCCTCGTATCGCCCAGAGGAGCCAGCTGTGACAAGGCGGTGTGACAAGGCGGAGCGTCGGATATTGCATCGCCACCGATCGCGAAGTCCTCCCCTTGGAGCGACAACAAGAGTCAAGAAGCCACGAGTGCGTTAGGGATCCTGCTGGCCCCAAGGACTGGATAATCCTCGTCGCGGGAGAGCAGGGGTCGGTTTCAGCACGTTCCGCCGCGGGGACGCCGCCTGGAAGAACTACCGCCGCCGGTACCACTGGGCAATCATGTACACGGGAGATTGCGTGGCGATTGGGTTCAGAGACGGCGAGTTCTTGCCTGTTTGGCAGCGGAGACGTTCTGATTTTGGGGATTAGAGAAGGCGGCGGAGAGCGGAGGGTGCTGGTGGCGGATCCCCTTCCGGTGGCGCTGCGGGATCTTCACAACCTGCGAATTGTGGAGAGAGGAGGGACGACGACGGCGAAGTGTGTGGTGGCGAATTGGAAGCAAGTTGCGGATAGGCACGACGGCGGAAGGAGGTGGCGGCTGGGGAGAGTGGAGAGGAGAAGGAAGGAAGAAGTCGAGAGAATGGTGGAAGCAATGGACAAAGAAAGGAGGTGGAATTTGGGAGCGGCGGTTATGGCTAGAGAACAACCTTACTGCAAGAGGAGCTCGTTAATGGTCGTTGCCGGCGACAAGTCGCAGGCTTGGTTAGACTTCGGAGTCACCGGCGGCGGCTCGGCGGTGTATTGGTTCAGGGAAGTTAAAAGATTTACGTTATTGTTGTTTTTTTATTAATTTAGCATTTACTTAGTTTTTTTGTAATAGTATTTACTTTTTTGTCGTTTAGTATTTTCTTAGTTTAGGGAAGTTGAAAGGTTTTCGTGGTTTCTTAATTAATTACAATTTCCCATCTTTTGGAATGGCGTAACTGCTCCAGGTAAGTAACTCAAAGAGACTCCTCAGTTTCTTTTTTTTTACATTATTGCAATTTAGTAATTTTTTATTTTCTTTATCTTTTTAATTAACCGCTATGCTTTTCCTTCATTATTTATTAGTAATTTTTATTTGTTTTCTTTTGATACTTACCCTCCCTTTTATTCATTTTATTTTGTCAATTTCGTCCGTTTTATTTTTTTGCTTTTCTTTAACTATTCTTAAAAAAAATTAATTTGACATAGTTTTGGTTTCGGTGTATCCGACTAAGCCTTAATGACTTGTTTAAGTCCATTTGGTGGAGCTTAGTTGCCTTCAGTGGGGACGCTTGTGTGTTTTGTTTGTTTTTTTTTTTTTTTTGAGGCACGCAGAAGAGCTCCTGTTATCGGTGGCACTTCCTCAGACAGGTGACTTGGCTCATGATCAAGATGGAACTATCTTGCAGAATGATCAGAGCTCGGCTTCTCTCTGTAGTTGAGTTTCTTACTGTTTTGTTCTCCGCTGTCTCAATAGGGCTGCCCATCATGTGGCATAAAAGGCCCTCTCATCGGGAGTTCGACTATTGGTCGACTTCCGCGCTCTTTTTATTTTCTTTATATGTCTGATTTTATAACAACTGACTTTGCGGGAAAAAAAATATTTTTCTTTGTGTACGATTGATCACAATTTAAATGTAAATCTTAAAGGGAGAGACAAATTTACTATCTTTCAAAATTATCAGAGTAACATGCATGTAAATCACAAGTATCATGAACAAACCAAAAAAACACGAAAATCCTGAATAGCTTGATCCAAGTAACACCTTAGTAGTCATTCTATTGTTCTCACGCATTTTTCCCTTTGTTCATAGTCGAAACTGTCAATTATTTTTTATGAAATTGTTTATTACCTACCTTTTTTTTTTTTTGCCATATTTTTGCTACTATATATTGTCATTTAATTCTTAACAAAAAGTACTTGTATATTATATGTGTAAACCTCTATGCCAAATGAACAAAATTATCACCATCATTCAAAAAAATATAATTAATCATAATAATTGAAATCGATCAAGTGATCAACTATCATGGATGGATGATGGATCAATTCATGAAATTAAATATTGTATATACTTGTACTATGAATGGAAAAGAGTTTTTCGTTTTACTGGGTTTTATTCTCCAGCCATCAATTCTCCGCCTGCTCTTGCACAAATTAAAGAACCGATCACTTCCTCTCGCCCATTCCAAGCGTGTTCTTGACGGAATCCACGGCCCCCTGAGCAATGTTCTTCACCGATTCTCCAGTCTGCTGAAGAAGGTTGGCAGTCTTGTCGGCGCCCTCTTGTGCCGTCTCCTTGGCGGACTGAGCGGCGTTCAGGGTCTTGTCCCTGGCCGCATCCGCGGTGCTCCCGAGCCCGAGGGACTCCTTGCCGGAGTCCGCGGCGCGGGTGGCCTTGTCCTTGGCGGACTCGGCGGCAGAGTCGGCCTTGCCCTTAGCTGTCTCCGCGGCGCTGGCGGCCTTCTCCTGGCCCGCGGCGGCCTTGTGTTGGGCGCTGTCCTTGGCCAACTCCGCGGACCCCGCGGTCCTCTGGCTGGCGGAGTCGGCCTTCTGCTGCATGCTGTCGGTCCACTCCTCTGCCTTCTCCTGGCCCTCGGCTCTGCTCTGTTGCATGCTGGCCATGGCTTAGCTTCTCTGTTTTTTTAGTTTGGTTTACGGGGAAGCAAAAGAAAGAAAGAGATCTTGTTCTTTTTGGGTTTTATTGGATTGATTTTGATGATGTTTGGATGAATAAAGATAACACTGGCTTTATATAGTGATGTTTTAGGTGAGATTAGAGAGCGGTGGACCGCAATCTTCTGCAATTGGAATGAGCAGGATAGATTTGAACGTATTGTCGAAATGTTGACGGAGTCCGAGAGAGATGATCAATCAATTAGAATTCAATGGCTGCCTGGCGAAACCAATTTGCCATTTTTGGGGTGTGTGCTTCAAAAACTTCGGTCAGAAATTTCTCTCTGATAGATTTCACTACCACAGATAGAAAAGAACGACGACGATGACACAAATGATTGTGATTTGTGAACCACGAAATCAATTATAGAGCACAACAATTAATGATCGGAAGTAGGGATGTATATCGATGGTATGTTACAACAGTTTTGAAATTTTTTTCGTTTTTAAAATTAGCTCGGTATGTTTGGTGAGCTAGCTCGTTTATTAGTGAAACAAGTTTGAGATAGTTAGATTTTGTTCAACTAAACAAGCGTTGTAGGGTGACCCGTTTTGGAGCTTAAGAACCGACTAGATAGTATGACTTGTGGGCTAATTTGTTGACGCTATTTTTAGAATTATCACATGTACTTTACAATACTTATTTTTGAATGTAACGGATAATGCACTATTAAATTATGTAACGTCAACTAGTTACAATATTTATATTAAAAATTTGCGATGATATAAACACCATGTTATCGTATTGCATTTATTCAAAACAAATATATCACATATTTATCATATCATCAAATTTTGAATTACATTATAATTAGCTCATAAACGGTATGGTTATGTGACTTAATTTCTTCAACTTGGCTAATATTGTGGCAAGGATATCAAGCTACAAAGATTAAATTGAAACTAATGTCCAATGTTTGGTTTACACATTTGAAATTGAACACAGTCGCATAAATCAAGTAGTGGTTAAAAATAGAGTATATCACTATTTTATAATCAATTCGGATGTTTCATTTAATTTCTTTCTTTGGTAGAAACAAAAGTTATACCATCAGATTCCAATCAGAAAATTAGAAAATGTTGTGGCTTAATTACCCAAATTTCTTCGACACTCTCATTACAATTGGTATGAGTCGCAAAAGGGGATGCCTTATCTAAAAATTACTATAAGGCAATGTTAAGATACAGCCTTTGCCACGTCAGTCTATGCTGCAATGGCCGCACAGTTCGGAGGGGGGTTATTGTCAATAAAAAAATCTCTCTTTCTTGCTGTATTTCAGCGAACATCTCACTCGCCTTCTCTTCCCCCTAAATCGGGAATCGAGACTCCTCCCAATCTTTTTATCGCACGCACCGAATCCCAAATTGAAACCTGTCGCCCTATCTGCTCATCACAAATCACCATAGCTACGATCGGATTTTTTGCTACACATAATCTGAAATCCAAATCACCCATTGTCGCCATCACTGGACTTCTCCGGTCGTCGCTCTGTTTGTTGCCGTTTGCTCCCTTTCTCCCACTGTGGCTCTCTCTGCGCCATCCCGCTCTGCTGCTGTCTCATCGGTACGCATGGATTCCGATGGTGTGCCAGTCATCGACAATGTTGAATTGATTTTGCAAAATGAGAAATGAAAAACTGAAACTGAAACTAATTCTCAACCTCTCCTGAATCCTTATTCTATTTATCTCCAATCAAATTGCGGCTACAAATTCATACAAAGAGAAGGAAGTTGAGGAGGCAAGATCCATGGATTCTCCCCGCAACGGGTGCTATTAGTCGCATCCCAACTCCATGAATTTACCATCTATTATATGTTTTTGGAAGAAAAAAATTCTAAGTCACGAGTAAAAAAATAGATGGAGAACAATATGAATCTATAGAGCTTATAGAGTCTCACTCTCACAGAGATAGAGACTAAGAGAGAGAGAGAGAGAGGAGATTGAGGGGGAAGCAAGGAAAAAATTAGAAAATTTGTTTCTGTAATTGTGTGCCGAGTTGGAGAGAGGGAAGGGGTGATTAGAAGAGAGATGGGGAGGAAAGAGATTGGTATCATGGGATGCTTTGGTTGTTGATATTATTATTATTATATTCATAAAATTGTTAAACTATAGCTTATACTATTATCAATTACTAGGTGGTGATGCCGCGACTTGTCGCGAGGCGTACATGACATATGGACATGTATTATGTACCCTGATATAGTGTTTGATAGTATTATTAGTTAAAAATTAATTTTTTGTTAACAGTTTTGTTAGTAATATTGACTGAGAAATATGGCGGTCAACATCCAATTTATTTTTATTTTTTTGAAAATTTTGGATAATAAATGATATTTACCTAAACCTAAGTAGACCAATTGATTTTGAGTAGGGCATGAGTGATGTATATATGAGTTTAAGAGTTTGTAGATGGGTTTGCGTAGGGTATGGATATTTACTTTCATAATCTAAATGTGCATGAGTTGGGTATGAATACCCATTTGATTTATTCAAGAGTGTTTTATTTACACATATATACAAAAATTAGACCTATTTATAGAACTACAAAAGTTTAGGTACCAAAATGTAATACCCAAGAAATTATAGGTACTAAAAGGTAATGTCCCATCAATATTTTGAGGACTATATGCCAAAAAATAAAATATAGGTTATAAATATAAAGATCGATTATGTTTAGGTACTGAACTATAATTTGCATAGTTGAGGCTTAATTCCTTTTATAGTGATGTATTTAAGATGATAATTATTTACTTTTTTTTATAGAAAATGAAAACTATTTATCTAATATGTGTAGATACCTATCCAAACATTCCATGTATAATTGTTGAAAATTCTAGCCCGGGTGAAAAAGAAAAACTCTAGAGAGAAGTAAAAGGAATACAAACTGGAACTCGCTTAAAATTTCACGCCTTCTAATCCCGTAGTGGAAAATGGCGACTTTGTAATAAGTAATAACCATATATATTTGCTTTTAATTGGACTGGACATTGAACTAAAAAATTTAATGGTTCATGGTTCAGTTATTAATTCTCTAGACTGTTGGTCAGTTGTGCATGTACTCTTTCATACTTGTGATTAGTATGCATAAAAATAATAGTATACTAATTAGGGTTGGACGAAGAAGGCAAAGAAAGGGTTATGGAAGGCGAGTGAAAAATGAAACGAAGAGGAAGTAGATGATGGAAAGGTTTTGACCAATTCTTTTAGTTGGCCGTCAATACTACAGTCAACCATTTTCGCCGTAGCAATTTATTGACACTTGCTTATGTAGATGTCACATATTTTGTTACATGTAGTTAGTAGAAGTTTGTTTAGTACCCCGTAAATGTACTAAATGAGTTATAAACTCGCTTTTGCAATATTTTAGAGTCGTCTCTCTTTTATAATTTATTTTATATTTCATATAATGAGCACATACAAAATGGTCGAATCTTCTCCTACTATTGAGTGATACAACATATTGTATGGTACAAACTAAATTTATACTTTTATGTTATGGTGGATTGGACTCATGGATTGGTTCAAAATGATTGGTGGATTGGACTCATGAATCCAAGTGAAATATAAACATTGGACCAATATGTAAGATTTGGACCAATATGTAAATTTAAAAAAACTCATAAAATGTAGATATCAAAACATAATTGTTCAATGATTTTAAATTAAAATTAAATTTGGGTATCAAAGTGTAAAATGTACATTATAGTGACTAAGCTATAATTTAATTAAATTTGGGATATCAAAATATAAAATGTAAAAAGAAGTGAGGTTTAATATATATAAAGAAGAAATGAGGTACTAAATTGTAATTTATTAGGCAACAGTAACATCACTTCTTCTTCTATATATATTAATAATATGAAATGATTCTTTTATAGATTATATAACTGTTGCATTGTTGAACAACATCTCTTTGATTCAGATCATTATCCAAATCAATTTTGAGTTTGACACACTCAAAGCTAGAAGTCAAGTAGATGGATTCCTATTTTTTTTTTTTTAAAATTCATTAAAATCAAAATGGGCAAGGCATTATGAAAAAATACAAAACATAGTACCACTAGAGAGAGAAAATTATACCAAAGTCTACAAAAGCCAAGAAATCCAATAGGACCCGGACACCCGGTCAAGGCTGCAATACAATAATCAAAACCCAATTGGACTATGCTCCCAAAGAGAACAATAATGACTGAAATATCATTTTTGGATATGCTTGCTTAGCTGTGGCTTTGGAAAATTACATATACGAAATGCTTGAATACTATTCTATTATGCACAATTGGGAGTTAATTAATTTCTGTTGAACTCGGTTATTGATTCTTAAAATTGGAATACGTACAGATCTTATACATTGATAAGCTTGATATTCATTTTATTATGTTAATGTGTTCTTTGATGTTAAAAAGGACATAACTCTCTTTTGTTATTGGCGTAGTTGCACTTGCAGGTCTCTTTTAAAAACTTGGCTTTGGTTTATGCCTAATGAAGTTGTTTTCGATTCTCAGAATTGATCGAAGGAAGTGAAAATTGCAAATTTTGGCTAAATAGTTGCTTGATTGTATTTGATTGCTTCTGTTGACAATTGTTATTTGTTGCTTTCAATCATAGGCGTATACCCCAATCTGTAGGATTAGGACACCACCTACAAGATGCAGCCCTAATATGATTATAGTTTGTATTTAGATTGGTTGGTTTAACTGTATTAATGATAGTTTGATGGTTTCTCTTTCGTTGCACCTTAATTTGTTGTACATCATTAAGAAAACATACCGCTTTTCATATTTTGGAGGAACAAAAATATCTTCAATTTGGAAATCAACTTGCACCTGTAATTTTCTTATGAAGTTCATGTAGTTATACTTTCAAGAAATGTAACTATTGGAAGGGTTCCTAGAGGGGTTTCAATGGGAATGAAACCAAGGCAAGAAAAAGACACAAGAAAGGTCGGTAAATTATAAGAGTAAAGAACTTAAATGAAACAATGAAAACAGAGTTAGAGTTTAAACTCTTTAAAGTACAAATTATCTCCAGAATATAAACAACAACATCT